AATGTACAACGTTTCAACAAAGTTTTGTCATTATCAGGTCATCATCAGATAACTCTTTTGTTTCAATTTATCATTTATCATAAAATGCAAGAGTTCTGAAATGCTAAGCTAAAAGCCTAATTATAAACCTTGTTTTTTTTTCAGAATAAAAATTCAATGTTTCATATTAAAAATATTCACTTTACCATTACTGAAATATTCACTTAAATGTGACGAATAAACATAAACAATTATGCTGTTAAGTCTATATATAAAACTTTTAAGCATAGATGTTTTTGTTAAATACAAGTATTTATATAGAAAGTTGAATACATTATATTAAAACAATTTTGAATTTGCAAGTCAACCAGTCACATGACAACCACAACTGATATAAAGCCCTGATAGAACTGAGTGTATCAGAGCTACATCTTAACATTATTTAGCATGATGCTACCAAAAATTGACTGCCGTTGGAAATGGTATGTGAGAGTGTTTTCTGAGACAAATACTGATACTCTCAGGTCATACAGATGTTTGAACTTAACATTTTAAATTTCCAAAATGGGAATATCTATACTACTTAATGGCAAAGGAATATAAATCAACTCAGGGTGCCAGGACCATCCATAAAAGACCTATAACAAGTCATAATCTAGTCATGGTAAGCAAAGTGCAGCATTTTGTAACAGGTCAATGGAAAATACCATGTCTACAACCCAATCAATAGAATGAAACTTTCTACCAGGAAATAAACTAACAAGATGTAGGTTCACCAAGAAAAAGTTTCCAGTCATATCTCCAAATGAACTATCATATGCCTGAAGTAAATGTATAATGAAATGAGATGCAAATCAAGTATTCAGACAGAGCATCTATGGATTTTTGTGTAATCAAACTCTTGAAACAGGGACTAAGAAACTGATGTCTTTGTATGTTATATAGATTATGGAAAGCTCATACGGAACAGTTGCATGTTCTGGACATAACAGCCTTACAATAGAGCATTTTTCAATGGAAACTACACTGCTAAAGAATGTTGTCAAGATGTGCAGTCATCAAATAAAATAATGACTGAACGTGGTGACATGGACTATAATGACATGGTGAGCCTCCAAGATTGTTCTTATATAATGTATTCAACCTCTATGTAATGATTCACTGACCATTACGACAATATGTTTCATATGCAATATAAAAAAATCTCTCAAATTACATTTCACATTACTTTTACAAGTTTTATAAAAATCAAGAGTACATCTATGGAAATAATTAAACATAAACATAGATATACTGCTACAAGACATAAAACAACCCTGAAAGCTAAAATGAAAAATAGGAGTATCCTAATTCCTCTATCCTCACATTACATTGTATATATTACTATAAATAATGTGATTAATAAAAGCAGCATATGCAGTAACTTGTAATCACTTAACCTTCATATTACAGACTTGTTCACTATTGATGCGGTCACACATTACACTATTCCTCATATGACTTGTTCACTACTTGTGTGGATCACATACTGCACTACATTAAGTAGTTTTTGTCTGTTACAACACTCAAGTGTAAAGAATAGACCAAAAAGTTTGGTGAAATCCTCATTTTCAGATGTGATTAGTGGTATTCATTGCAACATTCATATTATTTTGTATTTAAACTCTGTGTGTGCCCGACATGTTTAATTACGGACCCTGTAATTAACAAACTCATGGGCTCACTTGCAATTTAGTTTAGAAAAATGCATTTATAAAGCTAATGGAGTAACAGAAACCAATCAGTGATTCTAAAGTTATTAAATTAACTGTCATAAAAAGTGTTCTGTATACATTTACAAATGTACCTTGATAAGTTCAACAACTACAGATTTTAGTATCTAAGAACCTAAGGCAATAGGGATTTAATCCAATAAGAGATAACAAAAATCAACATACAATGCTCCAGGTAAGTGTTTGGTTCCAGAAGCTTGCACCTTCTTCTAAACTAAACAAAACTCCACCTATATTAAAAAATAAGTTTTTTTAAATCTAATTTCAAATAAAAAGATATTAGATTTTTCAGAAATTGTATTTGCACAGTATATGACAGACCTAACCTCACACATATACAATGTGCATTGGTACAGTAGGTATTACATAATATATGAAAATGAGAAATCTAAGATTAAACAACATGGAAGAGAAATGAATTCAAATTAAAACAAATAAAACTGACAAGATGTGGAAAGCGTAGCAAACATGAATGTTTACTTTTCTTACATACAATCAAAGATGTACAATCAATCAGAATTGGCCAAAATATATATGAGAGGTAGATTTCATACTTCAACAGCCAATTCTTGATAAGCTCCTAAATTATTAGATTTAATATAGCAGTTAAATATTATATTTACTGCTATAATAATAAAATTGCTTGAATTTTTTCACCGAGTGAAATGAATTACAGTACACTGTCTTTCAAGTCTTTATCGAAAATTTGTTTTCCTCAAAATTGAAAAATAATTAGGTTTTTATAGATCAGTAAGAAACAAACCGTTTGAAGGACAGACATGGAATACATTATAACAAATGTTAAAGTTTCACGGTTCTCACACCTTCAGCAGAAAGATATTCAAGAATAATTCTTAAATTTTTCCAGAATGTTATCACAATTATTTTAGTCTTCCTTAAAATTCCTAGTATAAAGTTTGCAATCAATAACTATAGCATTAAATCTAAACCTTTATGTCAGCCGTGTTTCCATGGTGTCAATAAATCTAAACCTTTATATCAGCCGTGTTTCCATGGTGTCAATAAATCTAAACCTTTATGTCAGCCGTGTTTCCATGGTGTCAATAAATCTAAACCTTTATGTCAGCCGTGTTTCCATGGTGTCAATTTGTTTACTTTGATATGCCAAGTTCTATTTATAACGTCAACATATGCAAAAGTGTTAGTTATATATAACATGAAGTAGGATATGAATGGCATGTAAATTATTAGATGATCTCTATATTAGTCTACAACTAACGTTTTTCAAGTACTCTCCACACAACATTGACAAAGTATATGGTTTTTACCTATGTATCATAACATTGGGTTCAAATTATTTAAATATCACTGTTAAATATAATTAACACTTAAAAAACATGCCATAACACACTAAATGTTTATTATAAATGGAGTTTGGAGACTTATCACAGATGCATACACAAAATGACTTTGGTAAGCAAAGGAACAAAACACTGCAGATCTTTAAGTTTTTAAAATTCCTTTTCCCCGAACACTTTGTAATTTCCCAAATTTTTCAAAAAATTTCAGAATATTTCCAAATAAGGAAATTGTTGAAT